ACTCGGTCCAACTACTGCTTGCGGTTGATAAACTCGTTGTGCATGACCGCTGTCGACGGAAACTGTGCTGCTCAGGCGTGATGGCGTTACATTTTTCCAGATAGCACACCAACGCATCGGCAACTCTGGATTCCATGACCTTGGAGAGTATAGGAAGAAGGGATACTGGGCGGTAGTTGGAGGGATCAGTTCTGCTTCCACCGTTGTAAATCGAGATTATTATTCTAATCTGCCACATGGCGGGAACTTGATTCTGGTCCCAGTACCGCTGGAAAAACTGAGCTAAAGGTCCTGCCAGTTGGTTTGCTGCTGCTCCCAATGCCTCTGGGCGAATGGTGTCGACACCCGGCGAGCTGTGTTTGCGTAGAGAAATCAGCTTTTGCAATACAGCCTCTGCGGTAAAAGTGATGTGGGTTAGTCCTGGCGAGAAGACGACAAAAGTCGGAAGATTGCTTGCTGATGAGACCTACTGAAAGGTGGGGGCATTTTGCATCCGCAGCGCGTTTTCTGCTTCCACAGCCGTTCTTTTTGGGCCATCAGCCGTCCTAAATGGAGGAAATACTTGCATCACCATTCTTAGGCTATTGACGTGCTTGTACAGCAGTTTGTGGTTAGCACTGAAGGTTTTTGCGATGTTGTGCTGATGAGTGGCTTTGTCTTCTCTTGGCAGGTGAGTGCAATGGTTACGTTGGGCTACGTAATTGTCCCAAGTTTCCGGTGCTGAAGCTTCTCTCGCCATGCTGCGTTGCTTACTGTCATCCATTTTCAAGTTCTGCTCCTAACGGAAGTAAATGATTTACACTTATTGCAAAATCTTATCTCTGAAGCCTCTGTAATCAGCTGACTGAATTTTTGATGAACTCGAGCCAGGCGACTTCCGGGGGTTCTTCGTCAAGGAACGACCAAGTTGCGGCGCTGACGAGCTGGGTTAATCGATCGTAGCTTGTGATGGTTCGCACAGTCTCATCTTTCTCATTCCGATATTCTGCATAGCAGACGATGAAACTGATCACTGCGTGATCACTGCGACCCAACGTGCAGTCTACAACCAACACATCAATCATATGCTCCTCGTTGGTAAGCGCAAGACCCAGCACAGATGGCCTGTTACCTGTTCTGAACCGAGTGGACAAAGTGATGGGATTGTAAAGCGGAACATTGGTTACGAGATCCTGTAGATGGACTTTGAATGGTTCTCACATCGTGGCAGGCGTTTCTACACAATGTACGTTGAAATCACCCATGATAAGTATGTTAGTGTACTTTCGCTTTAAACTGTATCTTAAAGCAGTCGGTTTAGGGTGTAGAGTTAGGGGGCGGTACACCAAGAAAATACGGCAAGCGCCCCTGCCGTTTAACTGCAAGCGACATCAAAGGGAGTCGGGGAACTGACAGTCTGAATCCTTCACGGTTTGGCACTGTAAGTAGCTTCGGTAATACAGGATTATCCCCCCTATCGTTCCGGATCAGCGACATGCCTGGTAGCGATACTTCAGCGTCCGTCATTCCCGTGGGCAATCACGTCTTGATGATACCTATGACATCATATGACCCGGAAGCTTAGCGATCTTTCAGTTCGGCCAGTTTATTAAAAAGACCCTAAGCATTCGTATACAAGCAGGCCGATTTCTCGGTCTCTAGGAGCCCACGGAGGGATGAAGGGGTCAAGTGTGGGAGAATGCCAACCGCTGTGAGGTCGGAAGTTACTCGTTTTTTTGATGGGATAATGATACCTCGTCTGAAACTTGATTCGGCCATGGTGCATCCCAACCTTCGTTTAGACCTACAGCGGAGTCAATTTAAAACAGCAGTCAAATTTCGCTTCTGTACATTCGTCGGTACGCTTGCTGCTGCAAGTGCTTTAATAGTTGAACTGTGCAAAGCTTCTGCGACCTTTAACCGAAGTTAAGAAGGGAAGATTTTTCCCGAGTTCTCCGTCATCGATTTAAACTATCCGTTGCTTGTTGCTCTGTCTGAACCACAAGTTTTAGGATTCTAAGGCCGCATCCTCTATAATTTGGTGAGAAAGCGCTATCCTGGTGAGCGATAGCACCACAATATTATCCAAAGAAAGTGCCTCACTGTCTCATAGCCCGTGCTATCCGGTCTGTTGAACATCGTTAAAAGGATGCTCTGGAACGCTATGTATGAAGAGTGTGATCAGGCGGTCTTGCTTGCTGTGTCCCTCTTCGGGGGTTACTTTTTGATTGTCAAACGCTCCATGGGACAGCAGAATAGATGCGTAGCTCACAGGATCCGTGTTTTAGCGCGCCTGCGGAGAGCAAAACATTTTCATCAGTGAAGGATCCTAGTGTTACTCGTATATGTCTGGGTTCTCTGTAGGGTGGCGAGTAATTCGTAATAGGTTTGTGGGCTTGGCTTTGACACTCATCAGCAAGTACAGTGAGTTCCATTAGTCTTGGTCGTTCGATAACTTATCGCGCAATGTGATGGCGGTAGATTCGGGAACATGTGAGCATACAACAGTCCAGGTACTATTGTTGGATCCCTTTTCATTAATCTACAAGCTAGGGTGCTCGTTTGTCCTTACCTGTTGACAAGTCTTGATTGTTTGTTGCTTGTCCCGCTATTCGCGTTAACGGTGCTTCCAGCAAAAGAGGCTGCAACGGCGGCCTCCCGGCGGACCTTTGAAGCAATCTGTGCATTTGTAACTGATGTTCTGGGGGCTTTGTCACGACAAGAAACATTTGAGTTACAGGTACCGAAGGTTGGTGTTCGGCTGCTTCATCCTTGTTAATACTAGACGTCAGGTCTAGTGGAATTTGCTTAACCAGACGTTTTGAATGGTTCCTGATTTTCGTTGCTGTGAGTACTGTTTGATTCACGTAGGTACAGTCTGTTTTCGCCCGGCTTTCTACCAAAGTTGGAGAAGACAACGGAGAAGGAGACGTGGCTGATTGCGGTGCAGGGGAAGCGGATTGTTCAGCATTCCGTTGCTTAGCAGCCGCTACACTTCTGTGATCCATAATCGCTTCCATTGAAGTAAGCTTATTGTTTATCCTCTGCTCTGCTTCTTGCGTTTAACCTGTCGCATTTCTGAACTAGGATAAGCAAGCACTTAACGAATGGGATGATGGAGCACGCAGTACAGAAACAAAGTGCATCTTGGGAGCTAGTTGGGATACATTTTCACATTTCGGATGATTCCATTCCAAACAGTACGACGAGCCAGACCTGTTTTAACTATTTGATGACATTCTCCTAACCCGCAATGCCTTTCGCTTGGAGTCTGTTCGGTTTCGCATTTCTGCCATTAAGCGTGGTCTCGTTACCGGACCCAGTGGGTTGGTTGGCGTTCTGGTACTTTTACAGCTTTGAGAGCGGCGCACATCGGTCAGGCGAGCGTGGTGGTTGCAAGGTCAAGCGAGCAGTTGGCGTGGTCGCGCGGGCCGTGTGATGGGTTATGCAGGCGCACTGGCCGACAATGTTACAAGGCATGGCGAGTGACTGGAACCTGCTAACTGAATCTGAACACAGCGCTGAACCAGAGTTGAGAGATCACAGATTCTTGCACAGCTGCGTTGAGATAACGCTGAGTCGGAATAAGGTTAAACTTTTCGGACTGCCTAGAGAATTCTGTATCGAATGGTTTCCCACGGAGAGGTAATCGACTCAATGTGATTGTGTTATCCGCTTGCGCTTAATCACGGATGGCAGTGAAAACGGTTACTGATGACACGGACTTTAATCGATAAAGATATTTACATGTATGATGGATCACTTTGTAAGGCTGGTTAATCCAGTTTGATTGAGCGTACACTGACGACGCCGCGAGAAGATGGAGAGCGGAAAGAGAGGAATAATCCAACTGAACCCAGAGCACGCACCTCCGGTGGTCCCATCGGAAGTTAGTGGTTCTGTATGGACACCTGATGCAATTAATTAGTCTGTTGATGCCATCGACAGGCAGCAAAGCATGCGTTTGATGCAGTCTCTGACACTCACAAACATTTCCTGCTTGGGATGATGATTCCTTAGACCAACAAAACGCTTGAGATGCCCCTCATATCACGCTGATTGTTGTTAGCAGTCTTTCCGATAAAGGCAAGGGTAGCCGGATTGAAGAAGCATCACTTCGTATACGTGGCTCAATAACACAACCCAACCCGGGTGTTTTGTTGTCCTCATAACTAGATAGGCGCTGTGCAGATATTCTGTTACCAGACTAGACAACACTATCAGTGCAAGTGCTGAGGATCGTGGCTTATCAATGCCCCCTAATCGGCTATTGTTTTACAACCAGAGGTCACGTTTTGATCCTGTCCCCGTAGTTGACCCACTGCGATTGACCCTAAGGCCGCCTAATGATTTTGGTCCGCAGCTCTTCGTAGGTGGCTTATAGGTGGCCTCATTGCGGTAGCAAATTCGTGCTGGGACCAAGCGGCGCATTAAGCTCCCATGCTCGCAGAAAGTACACTAAACAAGCCCATGACTAGATCGAACTTTATGGGAAAAGGATCGTGCATAATCACTGTTCGGTTCAGAAGTAATATGACTTTCTCCTGATGGCCTACTATATGATTCTTGCTATTTTAAAACCTTATGGAACAGTGTATTTATACCCATTTTCCTTGACCAAAATTTAGGTCAAGCATGACGGACACTCCCATTACGCCGAAATGATTGATCTCATGCCTAACCGTAGAATGGATGGGAGGAACTACACCCTTATGTGCCATTTGACATACGCCTTGTATCACGTTTCAAGTTGGTGACCAAATATCCCAGTAGCTAGCTTGGAGTCAGGCTCATCTCTTAGCACCGCTATACTAGGGTCTTGTAGAAACAGTAGCCAACACTCATCAAAGATATATGCATAAACCACAAGTAGCCCTCCATCCGCCCACCAGACTGGCACTTGTCATTATTATTTAAAAACATGATGGCGCAAATCCCTTTCCATCGATCCATCACATGCTTTTTATTCGTTTATCACCCAAAACCCATCACATGAATCCATGTTTTCTGTTCTCTTTCAGCCGAAGGCTCTATTCAATGTATCTCCATTGATCAAGTTTACAATCACTTTATCTTGCGAGGCTTGCCCCGCTACCCTGGACACACAAGTCTACTACAATTGATCGCCACTCATTGCCGTCAAGTGTACATACTCCCATGTACACTGCAAATCCCAAGTCGGCGACTGTTCAAAATGATCGGATCTCCCATCTCTACATCAATGACGAACCTACTGGACACAAAACGCACAGGCGCAGCAAACAAAGAATCGACTTTTCGAAATGTCGCTGCTTTCCGCCTCCCCAAATCTTCAGGCAGTGATCTGAATGCGCGTGAATTACTTTCCGGTGCCGTCTCCGGGCGAACTCCAGTGGCGCGACGACCGACAGAGTTGGGGAATGGCACACGGTGGCACAGATCAGTATCCTCTCTGATACCGCAGGGAGCGGGTAAGTAAAACGAGAATTAGTGACAAACTGTTGCCAGATGTTGCTGCTCTGTTAAGATTTGCTTACATGCTCATATTGAGGGGTTCACATGAAGGTACTTCTCAAATTAAAACTTCAAGGAAGTTCGTTGTCGATGTTAGAAAGCCGAAAATCTACTGGACGACTCTTCCACCCAGCTGTAAGTCGCCATTCTTGTGTGTCTCCCCCGAGGCTTACAGGACTTGAAGCTATGGCAGTGACTTGGACCAATGGGTCATGGGGGATAGCAGCCGCTGCAGCGGACCGACCTGGCTTATTGCCAGCTCCGATAGATCACTGTCACGAACACTACCAACCGGCACTCTGACTTGACCTGACTGAAACAAAGCTCATCACATCACTTACAAAAACACATTCTGATTACAGAAGAGTAGTAGGGGGATTTGAAAACACATTCTGCCAAGTCTTATAGCCTACATATGATGGTGAATCAAATAATTCCCTGTTGTACAATGCAGATATGAAGTATACATTGGAGTCGTAGCGTCATGAATATAAAGACGTGGAACTAAAAAGCAGTGGAGTGACTATTTGGGTCAGCTGCATTTAACTAGGCGGATAAGCGAGATTTAGTATCTCTTCCATAATTTACGATGACGGAACAATAGACCATCGAAGCATTACCTCATTACTATGTTCTCCATCATTCCTTTGAACATTCAACGATTCTCTTCTTTGTATGTGCTCGGCAGTATGAATAGGGGCTGTCACATGGCACTTGCATCTACAGAAGGACCGAAGATGACCATCGGACACATCATTTTCGGTGTGAAACCAAGAAAAAGGACCTGGCGATAGACTGCCGCGAGACCACGGTTTCATATGGTGCTCGTGTGACAGAACTCCACGTTAACGGCATTCACTATAGAGTATAACTATAACCTACATAACCCCTTCGTACACGCCTGCCATGAGCTTTTGATCCATAGGAGATCTGAAACACAGACGAAGTGTTAGTCGTGCTGTGACCCGCTCATTGAAGCAGAGTCCGGGAATTGTGCCGTTTTTCAGACTGCTTACCACATCACAACTGCCAAAGTTTAACACCCTCCTGGTGCCAACGATGTGAAGTGGATATATCTAACGAGTATCGTCTGCAGCGCTACGGGCTTTGGAGCGAGTGGAAATTGATGTCAGATTATACCAGAGGGATCAGCAGATGGAGGAGTCTGGAGCCAATGGTTTCAGGTAATCGCTAGCCAGAGGACAGCGAGGGTACTTACACCCGCGATAAGAAAGGCCATATAGATTGTTGAGTGAAGTACTTTCAGCGGCAGTTCATTTGGTCTCACGTCTCTTACTCGCTTCATGTGCAAGTCGCACAGCTCGAACCAAGGCCGGTCAGTTTAGATTTTCCATCGGAGTCTGAGATTGGAAGCTTGACCACAACCATCAGCATTCTTCACATTGCTGATACGAATATCCCATTGCCTTCCATATTCGAGCAGATTGGGGAGAACCTCTGAAAATTATTGTTCCACCCCTGAAAATATATGGGAGGAGACAATCGCATGCAACTAAGGCGGATTGGTTATGAAGTACTGATCACAAGGGGTTACAGTTTAACACCGGTAGTGGCTAACTTACTGACTTCTATTCTCGTGCACCATCTTTCTGCTTGAGGGGAAGCTCATAACAAACAGGAACAGTCCGGTTAACGATCTGGATGGAACCGCCTATACACATTTCACTCTAAAGTACCATAAACACAATATGTAGATTATGGCCATATTCCCCGACTTCAATAACACTTCGAAATCATTTGATACGTTCTAACTACTCGACGTAATTTCTCTGTATGGTTTGTGAACATTTTGTCTCCTGTTTCCGAGCAATTGACCTTAGGTTAAGATAACTTGTAGCAATTCTTTTGGGTACCAAACGGCTTTCGCCAGGTTTGTCCCAATTTTACCAACCCTTATCATAAACACGAACGCAATGCCCCATAGTGGATTCTTAGTATGCAAAGGTTGAGGGATTGTCAGTGGGGATAGCTGGTTGACTTGGATTGGACTAACAACAACAAACTTTAGGTGGCACATATTGTAGGGAGGCGGAAAGCAGCGCTTGCCCAAAGGACGGTTAGATCATTAAAACGGAGGCGGACGAATAGGAAGACCAATGCAATGGGGGCGATTCACTGGAGAAACCCAGGCCCAATAGAACGGGACGAAAACGGGACAGGAGCCGCATCCGTGGGTGAGCCCGAGGCAGGCAAAGCAGATGGAGAATTTGTTGAAGACGCAATAAATCGGACAAAACCGCCGGTATCGCATCTTCAAGAAACAACCTCGGGGAGAGTGATACACCCATGGTCAAGCAAAGCGCACGCTATCGAACGACTCCGGGCTTGTCAGAATCGGAGGCGTGGAAGCGAAGATACACGGGCGAAACGGACATAGAAGATGCGTTCCCGTACCCCCAGAAGGAGCATAGAATTGCCATGAGCGGAGGCCAGGAGGGATGGTGCAACGTGGGAAAGAAACCTGACTCATTAATATGCGCCTGTGTGGGTGGTAAGGTGGTGTGTGTGTTCGCACCAATAAAGATCGTGCTTCATTGCCGCGTTGTTCAGTCGCTACAATATAACCCTGGGAAAACCTTTGAGTTGACTCTATCCTTTGGGATGTGCTTCGCATCTTCAAAATTTAACATGATGATTCAGGACCCCAACTAATTTCCAAGGTACTGATCCTTGATGAATCGCAACTACAGATGTTTGGTAATCCACTGCACCTATTGCTGCTTTTTTGTGGACGGTGGCATTTACCTTATAGTAGAAGAGCAAAAGTTACCTTCATTAGCCCCAGACATCTGCAGACTTGGTGGGAGATTTTGCTGCTCTTGAAGATTATGGATGCAGGATCACGGTGAGCGTTGTTCTAATGGATCGGGGCCACTGGACACTGTTCGATTACTTTCATCAATGCCTGCGGAGAACAATTAATGTTGAGTGGCGCCAGTCTGTTCGGACCGCTGAGGTGAGCGGGTGAGCACTGCATGGTTAATTCCTCAGTTCAACAGACAAGTATACAGAATTTGCATAGGCTCCAGTACAAGCAGCGTTGTTTCGTTTATCTGAACTAAAATTGTCTAAGACTCCATGAAAGGAATTTTTTGGTTTGATGACTGAAAATGAATTCCCTGATGAATAAACTAGATGTTATCGTTCTGTCTCGTCTCTTAGGCTGGAATGCACACGATCCATCCTGTTCTTGCCTCGGGACATGACTCGCAGCGGATATTAGGAGCGCGTTTGCAGCCGTTTTCCAGTCGAAATAACTGTTTAAAATGTATCTGCTGTCAGATTTTCTGAAGGGTGAATTTGGTTGCGTTGACAGGTGACGAATGCCTTAGCTGTTTACGATAGATGACTGCACGTTGTTGGCGAGCTGTATGCGTCTTGCTTCTAGATGCTTACTTAGGTCCCCTTCTAAATGTATCCGAATTTCCTATCCGCAGAGCCGGTCTCTTTACTCCTTTGTTGCACAATACTACATCACTTGTACAAAGTATGATGTGCTTTTGGTGAGGAAGACCGATGATGATAGTGATGAACAGAAAGGGGAGGTATCGATTAAGTTTGCCAAGCAGTTGTACGCGTTCCGGTGTGGTAACAAAAATTACTGTGCTCAAAACACAGAGTCTTGACAGAGCCCATGAAGATTTGTTCTTGGCCTTCAGTTCAAAGAGCCTTTATATTGAGTTTCATATTGTTGACCTGGATAAAGCAAGTAAATATGTGTTACTTGTAATTTTAAGTGCGCATCTAAATAAAAACTCCTTCCGCCCCATCATGTGTTTAAGCAGCCAAAAGCAACAAGTTCAAAAGTAATTATCGGTCTGCCTTAGGCTGACCTGAATGTAACGGTAAGACTAATGTATTTTCTCTCGTTTGTCCGTACGTACGTTTGTCCGCACAAATGAATCATATGGTTACCAGTTATCGTTGTCGACCCTGACGAGATGATACGAAATTCGTGCAGCTGCCGAGCTTCGAATTCTCATTGTATTTTGTAAATTACTGAGAAGGACAAATTGTTTTAAAGTATAAGTTAGTTACTTCCATGCATAAGGGCACTGTGAATCAGCAACCAAAACTGGCAGCAACCCCTACTTGATGTGTGACATGAGCCGTGGACGGAACAAGTTATTTAATGATAACGTTGTGTTGAGAATAAAAAAACAAGGGACCAATCACTTCGCTTTTTCCCCCACCCCCGAAAGCTTGCAAATTGTTCTACTTTGGAAATTGTAACGTGGGCAACTTCACCGGCAGTCAGGTCATCAAAGTCTGCGTAGATCATTTACTAGACGAGCGTATACAGACTCTCAACCCAATCCCCATTGAGTTTCGGGTGAATGAAAATGGAATCACTATGACCGATTTTGAGCAGCGGTTCTTCACCAAGCGTCATATTCCTGCCACGTTTTTGGGTTACATTGGATTGGATCCGCTGGGACGTACGTAAGTTTACCACCTTTCATCGTATCATCATCATCATCCCCATTTTGGCGAATTTGATCACATTCTGAAGGACAGATTGATTCACTCTTTGTAGATTCTTCTACAACGCGTATATTTCGTCTGTGGAACCTAGAACTCATAGCCAATCTCTATTGGTCCTTGTTGCCTCAAGATGGATAAAATTAGTTTGCACTTTGTAATCGTGCAATACTAATCGCATGTCAATAGTGTGCACAGGGTAGAGATGTATCCCCACATAGGTATTCGCACGGCACCAGATGGAAGTCAATAGCTACCTACTTTCAAAAAGTAGCCTGTAAAGCATAACGGTTCGTCACACGATCCTTCACAACACATTGGAGACGTTTTTAAAAAATGACGTACAGCTGGGATTAAAAAACACCACAATGCTTTCTAGAACTCAAGCACTACGTTTTCTAACACCTAACATTGAACTCAAAAGATACTGTACCCTTGGCACTATTGCGGCAGGTTTGGACGACCAACGAGTTTTCTACTCTGTTCATCCATTTCCAGTGTATAAAGTACAGATCACAGGCACAATAGGCTTCACTTCAGACATTGTTCCCTAATTTGAAACCTGAACGGACATGGTTCTCATGGCACTAACATTTGAGATTTACTGACATTCTGCAGATATGCTCTCTAATGACATCCTGCATGCGTGAATTGTTCACGAGATATTAAAATGCAAAACCAATGGTTGCTAGCCTCTACAAGATTACGTGCCACCAGTTGTGTTCATGAAGAAATCCTCATTTGCAGGCACCTTTCAGCATAAAAAGTCAAATGACGAGTAATTTTCTACCAGTTCCTTGTTCAAGCTAAAACAATACAAGATCAAATCCGACCTGTTGTCGCCATCGCTTGAACGAAGCTCACTTATTGTGCTAATCTGCTGCTGATTCGGCCAAATCCTGTTAAAAGTGGTTTAGTACAGTGTCGGTGTCTACATGAGGCAGCTGCATAATTGCTAGCTTCCACCGATCATTCTGATGACCGTGCGCGGAAGAATCCGAGGTTGACACCCAGCGACAAATCGTCACTCCCACCAACAAGTTACTTGCAAACACCATGTATTTTGTACCAGATGACATCGTTCCATGCTACTTGTGTCAACTGCGATGATACTTTGACCGTTAACATTGATCACCATCTGATTCAAATTCATGTAGTCGCAAAAATCATTATAGTTACGCATAAAACCACCATTTGGGCTCTAGTCCACTACCTCCAATGAATCCTTTCCATTGAGTAGAACAAGGCCTAGTAAATATGCCAACGGCTAGTTTTCAAACCCTTCTCAAGCGAAGACTTTTTGAGCGATTCCGAAAGTATCACATGATATATAGCTTTATTTTTCCCCGTCAGTGTAAGGTGCTTGCTCTTTTTCAGATGGCACGCCAAGGCTCTTTTCAGCGAGGCACCAACGGAAAGTAGGTAAGTAGACATGCTGATAATTTCCGAACCTGACTCCGGTTACGCTGCTATAAAGCATGCAAGCCAGCTAGAATAACAACCGGTGGTTTACCGTAAAAGTAGGCAGCTGTGCACCCTGGTTCCGCTTGAGATACGAGGCCACATTATTTGGTTACGTCCATGAAGGAAGCACATATGATTATCCACAATGCAATACGTTCAGTTACCACTCAGATTCATCTCGACGAAGAGTTAGTAGGGACTAAGAAACAGTATTGGTCTTTGCTTCGCGGATGTAACCATTGTTCATAAGATAGTCGTCTGCTGATCCCAACACTTACAGATGACAGAAATGGGATATAAGGCACCATAATTTGGTAGAGCTGAAATCAAGCCGAAACACTATTGACAATACGGTCATGCAGCTACGTGTAGAGGAAGGGTAACAATGTTAAATAAGTTAATCAATTGGTTTACGACGGATCACGCGCAATGGGCTGGACTCTTCGGAGGATGGACAGTTGGGCAGATTATCGCAAATTATTCGCTTGAGTCGCGACCATTAAACACCTTTCGGTCAGTGCATTAAGATGCTAGTAGGCTGAACGAAGCTTGGTGATCCCTCATCCGTAAACACAGCAGTTTAACCTAATCATCGCGGTTAAAGTTTAGTGATGGAAAGAAATAGTCAGGTTTGCCGACTTTCACAGTGATCAATTAGTCGGAATCTGGCTCTCCCCAGATGAGGGTCAATTGCGTGAGACGAGTAAGCGGTCCACAGCTTTGTGCGTGAGGTACATGATGGCCAAGGTTGCGTGTGAATTTCCCTGTAATGTAATCGGACAGCGCTGGCACTGTAGTTATCCGTTGCACTGGATCAAGAGCGACGAATTGGTGACATAGATGCACCTTTCGAAGCTGTTCAATACATATTCACTGGCAAATGGAAGAAAGTAAGCGACTGATACATCTAAATATCTGTGAGCTGGGTGTGTATTATTGCACTCTAAGAAGCGGTAGTCGAATTTAGCATGATTGTGTTCAAACGGAAGTGGAAACGGGGTTTCGGCACCATAGGTCATGCTAACTCCATGGTCCAACCTACCGATTCTGGCCGCTAGCAAGAATGTAAGAGCGCTCTTTGTAAGTTTAGACAGCGGTCACTTTCAATTACGTACGCTTGACATGAAATTAAAACATGGCGCGCCGAATTTCATCCGAAGTTGGGTAACCTGAAATTAAGATGACGAAAGAACTTCAGACCTTCGTCTTAATTGGAACTCTTAAAGACCGCGTGTCAGCTCCGAGCTCAGATCATGGTCAATCAACCACTATCAACACTGTAGAAGAAGGAGTGCAGCGGCTGACGGATGAGAGCGCTCGACACACGAGTATAGTGTATGAACACTTCGCTAATTGCTATGTTCAGTTCATTAAATTCATGCCTATCATTCGTCATCCTCGCGATTCCACTTTTACATCGCGCAGAATTTTCGGTTTCACTTCTCACAATCCAAGTCTGGCTGTTGGAAACAATCAGTGCCATCTACTGTCAGAATACGAGCGGACGGAGCAAGCGGAGACCATCTGTGCGTTTACTCAACGCTATTTGAACATGCGTGTTATTTGAAACCCAATCGCTACATCCACAAATATACCATTTCCATTTCAAACTGAATGTTCTACAAGCTAAACTGGATGTTTTGCAAATTTAAGTGGACGCCGTTTGTTCCTTAAGCAGAACATAAATAATTTATTAACAAGGAAAAAAGTAGTAATGTTAAAGACGGTCAGTTGTTGAAGGGCTGTCCCGCTACTGCCCTTGTCAGGCTTGGCTTCACATTGAGGACGCCTTTCTTTAGTCCTGTTGCGCTGGCATTCCGATACTCTTTTGAATGATCATACTTACCTTTTGGTTGGTCAGCAGGCGTTTCACCGATGTCTTCACGTTCGAAAACAAGTTTCCTGTCTGGTCTAGCATACAGAAGTAGGGTGACAGAAACTTTAGCTTAATAAACTAACCCATGGTACTCCTCGGATCATCCGGCATTCATGCACCATTCATCTCCACACTACAGCACACATGCGCCACATTCTCATCAAGGAACACTGAGAACTGCACCATTATAGGTGCAATCATCATCATCATCAACAGCAATACGTCAGCCATTTGAGTTAACGCATCGCTGTTATACAACCATGATGGCCTATGGAAGGAAGAATACTAAGAGAGAGAGAAGGGGGACTTACCTGAAAACCTTAATCCCCTTGACAAAACTTCAGGGTCAAAGCGCCTACACCTTGTTAGCAACGTACCGTCACAAACAGCTGGCTTTGGTACAAACATAAGGCGGCAGCAGCGAGACAGCTTCCTTGCGACTTCCACTGCCCCGCGTCATAATCAGCCATTACCCCGCAGATAACTCAGCACCAAACACACTTTAGACTGGCAGTCCGGCTAAGAGAGGACAGCAGATGCGCCGCTGGTGTCAACTGAGAGCCATATTCAGTAACGATTTGAGCCAAGCACAAGGTAGGTCACGCGGACTCCAGCCTGAAAGGTGAGACGGACCAACAGCACTGAGTATAGGCGTCCGTGAGTTTATTTCCGGATGCCAAGTCAACTTCTGTCCACCTCGAGTCTTGCGCCACCCTACATTTGGCAAATATAACAAGGCCCGCCTCGGTAAGTCGTAAAGGGGCATACGTATCACGCGCCCAAGCCAACGCAACGTATTCAGTGTTATCTCTAGTTCTAAGGTGCAATCGTTGATGACATGGATAAACTATGCCTTGGTTATTCATCATCACCATCGATACCATCATGCTGCCTCTGATTGTGTGAAAGATGGCAATCGTGTACGACCCTCTTCTTGAGCGAGACTGTGTCTTTTGCAGAGGGGGGTTGAACTCGCTATTGGGAGTCCGACTTCCCAATAGCCGCATAGGTTCAACAGCGCACACAAGCATATAATACACGAAGGCCTATGGGTAGACAAGGAAAAACTGGGTCACTAACATTGATCGAGGTGAACAACCCTCATGAAAAAGAGGATGGATTGTAATTGCGCCTACTGCTTGAGTAATTCGGGTTGCATTATCCTGACTGTGATGTGGCTTGAATATCGCCAAGTCGCATTATCCTACTACTTTTGTTAATAAAACGCTGATGTTTTGCGTCATAATTAAACTATGTTCGTTTTGACTTGCAAAACGTCCACGTTAACGCGAAGATGGTACATATCGCTGCAATGCTTTTCTTGAACATGGAAAGCCTGATGAGTCAGAGCAGTAATCCGCAGGAGAGGCACAGTTCGCGTGTAGAACACCAACCTGATACTCCTGAATTCGATTAAACATTCTTATCCATGCAAGCGGTATTGCAAGATAAAGTTTTCACGTAAAACTATCAAGGTACCACTTAACAGTGGGTAACTAGCTACAACTTAGCTTAAGCTGGCTCAAGGAGCTAATACAATCGAACTCTAGCAAAGGCTTCTGGAGGAGTTGGAATTACCACATTACACCAAGGAAGAGGTTAGCCTAATCCAACTCACTGCTGTATAGCTGGTAATACCTTCGTTCTGAAATCATACCTGGACGTATCATTTAAGTTATAGCTTGTGTCGCCGACTACTCCCGTATAGGGACAGTTCAACAGGTACACAGGTAGCGCTAGCCGGTCGGTTTTACCTTCTCTGCAGCCAGACCAGTTTGTTCCGTTTATTACTTTGTGCATTGCAGATTTTCGGCGTTAATAGTTAGAAAATGCAGTTTTGCTTCTGCTAACCTGAAGGTGTTTATTGTGCATAAGTGCCTGGTCCGCATATTTCAATGTAGTTCTTAACTTGTGTTCTGGTCGTTTCAATGAATCCTTTTTTGCCGTCATAACTGCAAAGACGTTCATAATATGGAAACAAACTCCTGGTGGAAGTGGTTGTAAAATTTTCATGCGACCATTTCCTTTTAAAAGCTTTAAAAGCGTAACAAAAGATTTCAGTCGGCGTGATATCCTACACTCAGTGCATTTCGCGTATTCTCATTTAGCCACATGCATACTAATAGCGAAAATTTTAAACGAACAGAAGTGGCAAGTCTTGCTCTGCCTTAGTAAGACGAATTTCTCTGTAGAGGCACTGCCACAGCCGATAATCAATACCTTGTATTTATTCTCTTTCACTTTCGCTTGTTTAAAGTTTTCACTATTAGTACATATGCGGCTGAATGAGAAGGCGCGAAATAGACTTAATTTAGGATATCCCGCCAGCTGAAATGTTCTCCCTGCTTGCACATTTAGTGTCGTAAAACCATTGGACATAGAGCTACTGCTGTCACATGCTTGATTCGTCACGTGAATTTTCATATCACGTGGCCCAGATGTGTGCCCAACACACGACATTCGCGTGTCGACCCATAGACAGAAGTCAGAAGCCTACCTTGTAATTCCAGGGGCCAGGGTTCGCACCCGCGTAGGGACCGGGCGGCCTTCGCAATATCCCTAGCATACGTACGACTGGTGGTGGTTGCGCGGCAGTGAAGCGTCGGTACTGCGTACCGGCGCACTACTGATGCCTTCTGTTACTATTGCGGAGTCAGAAAGCGGGCCGAGTCACTAGACAAACGCACAGTATGGATAGTAGAACTAAGGCCGGTTGGCGGAATAAATTGTAATAAATCGTGATTCTAAAATCGTAGTTTTAATATTACAATACAATAGACTTACTGACAAGTGAAACGATGCGCACTTAACAAGCCAACAGCTCAAAGATAGGATACCCCGGTCACAAATTTCATGTTGTGCGTATAATTTCTCTTGCTCGTGTCGAACAAGGTACATAAGCAAAACGACAAGGCTACTGTCCGTAAGAGCTCGAGAGCACTGCCCGGCTTGGCTATGCAGTGGTGTGAGGAAGCACGTGTCGAGTGCAGGAATGTCACATTTAGTGGATTCTAACCACAAAATAAACTCAGATGATTCATTCCAACCACACACGACCTGTCAGATGTCATCTGCTGTCGACAACAGAGGCAATCGCAATTCGGCCCGATAACCCGGAGTCGTGTGCACAGAAGTATTTGGTGCAGACCCTGTCTACCCTAGCCCCAGATTAACACAAGTAATCAGACCTATCACGCCGTTCCCCCCGACTCCACACAGGTGGGGCTAATCAAATAGTCTTATTGATGACAAATCTTGTCTTATTGACGCCTATAAATCACGTGTACATTTTTTGTCCACAGAAAACAAGCGTGTTCCCTATGTTCTTCCTCAAAATCCGTAGAACACTCAGTCATTAACCAATGCGAACGTGTAGCAAATATGGCACAGTAAAAAAGGTAATAACGATGCAAATGTCACAAGTCTACAATTTTGATCAGAAATAATTAGTGACAGAAATTAAGTAAAGCTGAAAACTCGATTCATAAATTCAGCCGCCAGACTACAATTGGACAAAATACCTCGATGAGTTTCGCGAGTGCATTCTGATAATGAACAAGCTACTCATTAATTGTCAGTAGAAACGTTCACTATCGGGAATTTCGAATTCACACTCACGCCAGCGTCATCGGCCTCATCCGTAGCTTCTTCGCTCCATGTCTCTTCCAGTAGACAGAGCTGGATCACATCACTCCAGATTCTTCCTTTGGTAGTGCGGACAATAATTTCTCGAACCAGTCCATTGCACCCCATTCTTGCTTCTTCCACGATGCCTTTAAGCCACAGACCTCTTGCCACCAGAACCAACTCACCACTTTTACCGTGCCTGCAACGTTGTTAAGACTTCAGCCACTTTCTCCAAGATTTGTCCGACAACTGCTAGACCTCAGTCAAACCAGACGGATTCCATTCTGCATCGCACGGCTTACAGCCTGTCGTGGATGAGGAATGACTTCATCGGATAGAGCCAGAGTCACCCACTTTTTGGGTTTGTTAGTATACAGCCCTCGAAGTTAGAAATCGGATTTTGTGTATTTGTACTTGAGAGGTAACCATCCAACGACCCGGTATGAAGAAATGGCGGAACTTTCTATACCAGCTGTCGAAACGGAGAAATCAGGCAGATTGCCAACTGAATGAGGTGCTCCGAAACTGGATGTGAAATCTGGTGTGTTGCCGATTGAATTGCGTTCTCGTGTCTGGATGCCTGCACCACTGCGTCTTGGGACGTGAAGTAGCAGGTGATCGTTTTGGTTCGAGGTGGCTGTACAACGCCTTTTGCTCCAAAGTGGAGAATGGATCGGCCCCAAAGGGATCCACCGAAGCGGGAGGAGGGGCACCGGAGGCTCCGAACACCGCATCGAAATCCGCGCCTGTTACTATGCTTTTGTACTCCATGACTCGGTTAACTGTGGAATCAAACGGATCAAAATCTGAAATAATATCGGAGCACTTCCTTCTGTTCACTGTGTTTGTTGATACACTGAAGGGATGAGCAGCAAACGAATCTGTGTATCTGAATGGGTCTGAAGCCGGAAACAAACTGGTTGGTCCAAATAAGTCATCCTTTTGGGTGTTTGAGGCTGAACAGAAGTATCAGATTTCCGAAATTGTATCAAATGGAGCAGGTCACGGAAGGGATCGCCCCAACTATCGGTAACCGCAGAGTAGAAACGGCTTGTCCTCGCACTGATGGTGTTTCGTCGAATGCACCAACTGGGTTGGCGGACATGACCGAGAGTGGGACAGAGGCGGCACCCAAAGAGAGCCTTACCGGAACCGAGACATCGGGTCAAATTGGGTCAGAAAGCGTGGTGGCACCATTAGGTGCAGCGGCGGTGTTTGTGGAGCCGCCTAAACCAGTGTCGAGACTGTTGCTGCTACCATCCACACTGCTCACCTCCAACAATGCCTCCACTGTACGTTCGTCTGACTCAGAAGCGGAATCATCTCCGTTCAGGAATGATGTATATTGTTAAGGCACTTACACCAACTGACCGCATGTGGATTCGAGGGAGGCGACTCGAGCAGTCTTCCTCCATTTGAGGCTGAGATCTACGAGGTTCAGTGAACTCCAGCTCATACATTCGCATGAGAAAGGGGAGTTATGATCGTCCATAGAAAGTGTTTGCGTCGGCTGTCCGTGTGTCTGGTCCTCCAGCTGGTCCCAGCAGGATCCAGCCAACTGTGCCTACACTGCTAACGCTTCCAAAGGTTTTCCATAGCGCTGCTCGAGTACACAATGAGCATGTGGGATGTTCATACCAAGTCAAACACTAATGTCCTGACTTCGATTATCCACGAATGGCAAATTTTTCAACGCGGTAGACATTTTGACTCTGATATCACGCGTTTGACTCGAAGCAGCATCTGAACAGACCAGCCGTTGTCTACCAAAATGGGTTCACCTACGTCCAAGGGCATTAGCGCTAATTTCGCCACTTGTGAGCAAACACTTGATTCCACATTAACGGCGGATATTCTAATTGCCGACGGTTCTGTTTGCAGCTGAAGATCGTGCAGCAGTTGCTCTTCCATTAACGAGGTATCCGAACCAGGATCGAGTACAGCGTTCGTCGCTATTTGTCTTTGTCACAGAGTTTCAAGGGCATGAGTCCCAAGGCTACTTGCTTTACAGAAGCTGTAACCTCATTCATAGCGCCACGTGGAGATGTTCGTAATACCTGGGCATAGTGCAGCAAGAGGTGGCGCTTATACTGGCCACCATCTAACCCACAAGCAATCCGGGACTTGCAGTTGATTGACAGATGACTTGGTTTCAGGTATAATTCACATAGGCCTTTCTCTGATACGAGTGAAAGACGTTCGACATTGCTCAAAGACAGAAACCGAGGACACTGATCCAATAATGAGTCTGCGTAAACTCTACGCATAGGCGGACGCCTTTGAGTCGACTGCGTCCCTTTTCTTAGTGCCAAGGTATTAACGCGGTTTCCTCGAGTTTCATGGCTGCTCGATCTCTGAGGACGTTCACGACTATGCGCTATCTCGTCTAAGTACATTGCTTGGGTGGTAGTGATCTCAGCACACCGGCAAACAAAACGATACAAATCTTCGAAGATGGGCTCTCTACATGTTTGAAGGGTGCCTGCTGCCTTCTTGAACAACTCAATCTGCTGGTCTTAGGAAAGTCTTCTGACGACTGCTGCTATTGTCACTGTCGCGTTCATATCAACTAAGTAAGTCAGATGTTCTGAACAAAACAAGCAGAAGACGAGCCCTGCAAGGTGGTACCATTTCGTGTTATCTGATCACTTGTAAACTAACAACATATATAGATCACGTAAGGGAAGAAAATGATCGTTTTCAATTGGTCGGAGAACAATCGAAATGTTGACATATCGCAAGCTATGTCTTCTTTCTGCTTGGAAGAAGAAAAAATACGCTCAAGGACAAAAACGATAGGTGGTATCGCTGGGGCAAAGGTCATGAACACCAAGGGAGCTTAAGAGCTACTACCAGTTGATTTTGCAAACAAAGGGTGGGATGGTAAGGATTCAGGCACAGTCTCGGCAAACTTCAGCACCCTGGAGTTTTCGTTTAGGTCGATAACCGTAAAAGTTGATCCAGGACCAAATTGATGACATGTACGGATTAGGGCTTTAACAATGGATGATGCCGACAGCTTGTCTGCTGCGCCTTGTCTGGGTGCTTGTTGTGCCATCAGCCCAGCAAGTCACTTCAGAATGTGCTCTCCTATCAGCTTACTCAGACAACGATCTGTTCTGCCAATGTAACAGCTTCCGCAGATACAGACGAATTGGTAGATGCAATGTGTTGTGTCGAAGACCGGTTGAGTAGGTTTGATTGGGGGCATAGGCACCTTTTTGGTTGTCCAGATAGGACAGAGTTTGGCAGCGTTGGATGTACATTGGCTAGCCTTGTTCACCCGTCGTTTAATTTGCGTCGTCACCACATTACCTTTGAAGGGTAGCTGTAAATAGACGGGCATTTTGGGCACAGTAAGAACTTTTGGTTTGTTTTCCTTCGGGTGACTGTGAAATCTGATGAATGCCTCTTGATATCCATTGGCCCGTAATGTCTGTGTGATGGACGATAATTCCACATAGTCAGCACTGCATATTCTACGGGCACGATCGAACAACATCTTGAAAAGGCAACGTTTGTATTGGACCGGCGCAAAGCTGTTGCAGTTATAATATAGGCATATCCATGTAGTTCTCCTGTAAACAGATTTCATTTTCATTCATTCATTTATCAGCGAGCCGCAATTATTCAATTACCTCGGAGTCAGGAAGCGGGCCGAGTCACTAGACAAATGCACGATCAAGGCGGTGGAACTAAGGCCAGCATTACAATGTTAAACCGTGGTTCTAAAATCGTAGTTTTAACAATACAATACGATAGACTTACGGATAAGCGAAACGACGCACTTAACAAGCCAGCAGGAAATCCGAATGCGAGTGCGTAGCAATTATGGCACAGTAAAACAAAAGGTATTTAAGATGCGAAATGTTGTAAGTCTACAATTTTGAGTGGAAATAATTATTAACAGAAATTAAATACAGCGAAAACTGTCAAAGCATGAAATTCAGCTGTCAGACTGTAATTGGACGTAATACCTCGATGAAGTTTCGCGAGTGCATTCTGATAATGAACAGGCTACTCATTAATTGTCAGTAGAACAGTTCGCTATCGTGAAGTTGGAATTTACACCTCACATCTCGTGCATTGGCTAATCAACCAACCAACTTATACTTGGAATTTTGCATGACTGTCAACCATCGTTATACACGTTAGCTAGTGATAAACATCACAGCTTGGTATTTGTTTCATCGGTTGGAAGACAAGCAGCAAGACTGAAGATAGGTCGGTTTATATCAGTTATCTCCCAGTCTGTGATGGTCGGCTATCGTCCTCCATGGATCAGTGGCATAAGCGATCATGGGTTCGATCCCCAGCTGGAGACCGAGGGAATGCGCACCATTGACGAGCACCAATGCGGCTAAACGACCGTCTGGCGCTTTTCAGGATTGGTAGCTTACCTTTGCGGCGCGTCATCTAATTGCAATGGTGCAAATAAAATCATACCAAATCCGTCTACTCGTGACTAAACTCAGCTATTGTGCCGCAAATGCATGGTAAAGAAAAATGACGAGGCACGCCAGCTGAGCCACCGGTAACGGATGGACATCGTCGCGGAGAGCTAACAGCTGGCTATTTGCGGTAGAAAACTTATGTTGTGTCCGAAATGAATGTGGTTGGAGGAGGCTAAGCTGGAGGGCGACGGATAAAGATAAACGCTACCGAGGTCGGCTCCTAGGCATGTTAACTAGTGTATCCAATTAGACGTGTTCGTCGTCCTTCGGACCCCAACTAGGGAATCGAGAGGCTCTAACCGAGGAAAAATTCGAACTAAGCGCCATTCATTCCTCTTGCCCAAATCATCGCTTGGCTTGCTCCACTTCTCCCATTCATACCACCGGCTCGCAAACGTACGTCGCGGGAGTCCGTGTCGTAGCATGAGCAACACGTGATCCAGACATCGGTGTTTAGCGATTCACTTCCTCTTCCAGTGTCATAGACAAAGCGCCGAACGTGCTCATTGCTCACGCGTTGCTCCCACCAGACAGCTGCGATCATCGAATGTAACTAGTCTCCTTATGTCTGTCGACTTGGTGGGCCAAGATAATAATAATAATAATAATAATAATAATAATACGCATATCTCCTAATTGTACGAGAAGCTGTGCCTGGATTGTGGATAGATCATAGGTACAAGAATTATCATGCTCATGTGTGAATGAAATATGCAATATGACATCAAAATAATTGGGAATCATGTAACTTTTGTTGGTACCATCTTTAATCATTGATTATATATTTCTTGGTTCATCCTGAAAGAACTCGTATGGTGATTTACCCGATGGAAACATAATCATTATCGAGTTCTGGTCAAGGAATTTGCTAACCTGAATGGGGAATGCTCTTGCATTTGTGCACGACCTGATTGTGGCTGGTAGGTTATTCCACACGATAGCTTATCTGACGAGGAAGAAGTTGGATCGGATAGCTGTACTAGTTCTCGGCACACATAATGTACAGGTCTCGTTGCGTATATTCCGAGTGAAGTTATGTTGAATTTTAAGTGTACACAGATTGGAGTATGCCTTCTGGTTTATGAGATTGTGTATCAGCATCAGGTTATGTTTTAGTCGTCGCAACCAAAGGGGCTCAAGCTTAAGCTGCTGGCAACGCTCCTGATAATTCAAGATGCTTGATTTACTTAACAAACGCTTAGTGAATGATGTTTGCGGGTTTCTAAAAGCTTTCCTTTCACCCATTCGCATGTTCCCTTAGATGATGCTGCAGTATTCAAGGACAGTAAGTGTATTTTAAAACCTCGAGTCTGGCAGGGGTTGTATAGATTTTATGGCATATGTTAGCCACAGATCGTTTGGCACGTGCTATTTGATATTCAGTTTGCTCTGAGAAATTAAAGTTTGAAGAGTATCGTATGCCTAGATCACAGTTGGATAGTTTCACACAGATACGTTCATTGTTCAGTTTAACAGACTCTTCAGGGATTGAACAGCCGTATGACATAATGTATGATTTACAAGCTGAGAAACTTAGCATCCATGTGTTGCACCATTTCACAAGTGAATCGAAGCCTTCCCGAACGAGCAGCATTGCGCTATTGGGTTCGTCTCGTCGAACTTTATAAACAATATGTTATCGGCGAACAAAAATGGCCTGCCATTTTTCTGAACACCGTGATATCGTTAATACAAAGTAGGAAAAGCGAAGGACCAAGTACACTCCCTTGGATGACACCACTAGTGATTGGACGTGGGGAGGAGTTATGATTACCCCGAGTGGCTATCTGATAACGCCTATTTAGGTATGATTGTAGAGGGGCCGCTTCCAAGAATGCCTCGGGGGAGCTCTTCGGAGCGAGCTGAGAGCGGATCGCGAAGGACGGCTAGCGACGAGCCTGGGCCCGGAACTACGGAGCGGGAATATGTGGACAGCGTAATAAATCAGACATATACGCCGCTAGCGCAGCCCACAGGACCGACGCCGAGCCGATTGACACAGCCCAGAACAAGCAAGTCGAGAGCTCTCGAACGACTCCTGGCCGATCCAATTCGGGTACAGAGAAGTGGAGATCGAGGCGAAAACAGGAAGGCGGGACTTCCAAGTCAGAACTCCCGAGGCGAAAGGACTGGCTCGTCTCTAACATCCGTACCTGTGTTGCGTTGTGGGACGGAAATCTAGTCGATATTCGATGGCGCTCGTGAGACCCTCATGTGCCCATTTTTGGTGTGCAATAAACGTCTACCCCCCTGTCGTGTCGTTCTCGCTACATGATGTCAATCAAGCAAATAATGGGTCTCTGATTCCAAAGGACTCGATTCTTTTCAGTAGCTGCTTGTGGGGCACTCTGTTGAATGCTTTCTGCATATCCAGCAACAGTATTATAACTGCATATTTCGAATCAATGGCTTCCATAGTGCAACTGACATGTTGTACCTTTGTCGAGGAACCCAGGCTGGGATTTGTTAAGCAGTCTATGACGATGGATAAAATCCATGATTTCACTTTAACTAGTTTTTCGAGTAATCTACCGATGACGGGAGTATGAGGGATAAGTCGATAATTAGTGATGTGCTGTTTGGATCACCCCTTTATGACGAGGAACAATAAACGATGTTTGCCACTGATGCAGAATGTAGCTAGATTCCAAGGACTAGGTGAACCTGTTTAGCAAAAGCATTGATGTGTCAGGTCCACCAAGTTTAATAACTGATTGGGGGGATGCCATCGGAGTCTGGCTTGAGCGATGGCTTGATGGACTTCATAGCTTGTTGGATGGTCGAAAGAGAAATCTGGACATTATCTATGCCGCTTGTTGTAAGTTCCAGGCAGCAAGGTATAGGGTCGGTTTATACGTTCATGGAAGTAACGAAAAAGGTGCTAAACGCTTCACAAATAGCAGGTGGGTCGTTAAGGTAGCGACGCTCCTCATCAATAAGTTCTGTAATTAAAGACATCCGATTGTTAGTCCTACGACGGAGTAATTTGGCCAGTTCCTTTCCTTTGCATCTCATCTGAAAGGCGTTCTCCTCTTTCTTTTCAATCATTTGTGAGCACTTGATGCAGGCAGTGGATTCGTGTAACTGTAATGCTAGTGAAAAGTCTCTAGTTTTTCTGAATTTCCCGAGTAGTTTTCTCGTTTTCAAGTCACTCAGAGTGTCGCATACATTCATAGGACAAGGAATGGCACATTTATTATGCGAAACATGTACAGTTAAGATGTGATTGATCTGGTAGTAGAAATGTTCCACTGCAATGTGGGCGCTAGTGAAGAGAAAAAAACCCATCCCAGTTAGAGGACCGGATCTGCTTTCCGAAATGCTCCCAGTTCAATCCTTTGCATGGTATGCTGGGTAGGTGAGTCGAGTTTGGTATTCATTTCCAAGTGGATGGAAAGGCGTAGCATCTTGTGGTCACTATCCGGAAGGTTGTCTAAGATGTCAATTTGTGCGTCAGAAATCTCCCGGGTGAAGATTAAATCCGATATGTTGGCAGATCTACTTAGTCTGGTAACTCACTGAGTCCAACCCCCAACTCTGATAGTCGATAAGACAAATCTGTGCAATGATGGAGATGTTTGTGGTAAAGTGAAATCACCAGCGATTATCTTTAGACAGTGTGGTAACACCGATGCGAATTCAAAAGCTGAGGAGATAATTGCGATATCTTTGGCTGTCGCTTTCGGAGGGTTGTAGATGCAGCCGAGAAGTATTGTAGAGGAGGCTGCAGTGACCGAAAGTCATAGAGATTATGAGACATTGTTTAACTGTGGGTCATCAATGAACTCTGCTCTGAAGTTCCGAGGGAGATATACGATGCACCCGCCACCTTTGTGCTGCGATCTTTTCAAAATAGAAAGTAGTTAGGAATAGCTAAAGTAGCATCTAATGTATCAAGGGAGCACCATGTTTCGGTGACGAAGATTACATGTGGAGTGTGCAGTGCAACTGAAAACATGCTCTTTCAGTATCTTGTAACATTGGGGTTTATGGTTGTTTTAACCTTCGAAACGTCCACTTGTTTTACTGACTGCACGTCCGTTGTCACAAATCGTTTTGGTGAGTTCCTCGCTGCACGTTTCTCGCTCTGTCTGATTCGCTTCCCATTCTTGTAGCCTGCACAATACACGTTGGGTTCAGTTGCCTCCGACTTCTATACTGTCGTATTTGACACCTCTTACGTGTCATTGCTTACCGACTAGTATCCCAGGTTCCGCCCAACAATTGGTGACCCCCTGTAAGGGACACGCCGCCCGCCATTTTGCATTTTCATCCTGGTGAGCTCGTTCCAGTGATTTTGTGATTCATTACTCGCTATCGTTTTGTTTTATTATTTGCCGCATATACTTATTCATTTCTCACGATGAATAGTCCTGATGATAAACCATCTACGTACGTGGTTAGTGCCGTAGAGCTAGCCTCCCCACCTTTTTGGGAGAATGACCCGTTGTTATGGTTTGCACATTTAGAATCCACTTTTTACAATTGTAAAATTTCATCTGATAATTCTAAATATCATCAGCTTATGTCCCGGCTTCCGCAAAGCGTATCCTCCCAGGTGAGGGACATCATAGCTTGCCCGCCCCCCGATGCGAAATACGATACTTTAAAGCAGGCGATCATTCAGCGAATCACGCCCTCTGACAAGGTCCGACTTCAGCAACTGTTTAGGGATCTGCAGCTAGGGGACAGGATGCCTTCAGCCTTGTTACGACAGATGCAACAGCTCCTAGGCACATCCAGCATGGATGAAGGTATTCTCCGCGAAATGTGGATGCAACGTCTCCCAGAAAGCACACAAGCCATCCTTGCGGTGGCAAGCGCCCTGCCTCTCACAGCAGTTGCGGAACTAGCAGATCGTGTCATGGAACGACATCAGCCAGCGAACGAATCTAGGACGTTCACTCGACTTAGCCCCGTCACAGCCCCGGCGACATACGCGACTAGTGAGCCGTCGGCAATCGACGCTTTATCATCGCAGATAGCGTCATTACAACGCCAAGTCGAGAAACTCACCCTAGATCGTAAGCAGCGCAGCCGCTCTAACTCATCAACTCGCCGCACGAAGCCTAACAATTCAGGCTTTTGCTTTTACCACACGCGTTTTGGTAACAAAGCCCGCAAGTGCCAGCAGCCATGCAGTTTCTCCGCCGCCAAGCAGGGAAACTTCCACGCCGGCCCGTAATGGCGACTAACGGTGTCGGCAAAGCTCAAAGTCGTCTCATCTACATTAGGGATTATGGCTCCGATACCCAGTTCTTAGTTGATACCGGGGCGGAAGTCAGCGTTATTCCCCCTATGCCAGCTGAGCCTACCGCTTCTCTGTCGACAAGTCTCAGTGCCGCCAATGGCACACCAATAGCCACCTATGGTCATCGGTCACTTACCCTGGACCTAGGTCTTCGGCGTACGTTCCGCTGGGTATTCACTGTCGCTGCAGTCCCCTTTGCCATCATCGGCATTGACTTTCTCAGGCATTTCGACCTCTTGGTCGATGCGAAACGCCAGATGATAGTCGACACTGCAACAAAACTCAGCGTACGTGGCATCACCGCCGATGTGACATCTATATCCCCAGTCTATGCATTTCCCCAGACCTCGTCAGCCTACGCTAATCTCCTTTCTCAGTATCCCAAGCTCGTTCAGCCAATGAACGCAGCTTTGCCCGTGGCAGCTCAAGTCACGCACCACATACGGACAAATGGCCCACCTGTGTCATGCCGTCCACGCCGCCTATCGCCTGAGAAACTAAAGGTAGCTAGGGCGGAGTTTGAGCACATGCTTGAACTTGGAATAATCCGCCCTTCCGACAGCCCTTGGTCCTCGCCCCTGCAGATGGTCCCCAAGAAATCTGGTGACTGGCGCCCTTGCGGTGATTACCGCGCACTCAATCGCCTAACCGTCCCAGATCGGTATCCCATCCCACACATGCAGGACCTTACCGCATGCCTCACAGGTAAGACGATCTTCAGCAAGATCGATCTGGTTCGCGCCTATCACCAGATACCTGTGGAAGACAATGACATTCCTAAAACAGCCGTCATTACTCCTTTCGGTTTGTTTGAATTTTTAAGAATGCCATTTGGATTGTGCAACGCCGCACAAACCTTCCAACGCTTCATCCACGATGTCACTCGTGGCCTAGACTTCGCATATTCCTACCTCGATGATATCTTAGTAGCCAGTTCATCGGAACAAGAGCACCTCGAGCATCTTCGAACTCTCTTCCAGCGCCTGACCCAACACGGTGTCACAGTCAACCCGACTAAGTGCGAACTCGGCAAATCAACGGTAGAATTCCTAGGCCACCTCGTTTCATCGTCTGGTATCGAAGTCCTTCCTGATAAGATCCAGGCAATCAAGGACTTCCCAGCTCCGACTTCCTTCAAGCACCTCCGTCGATTTTGTGGTTTGGTCAACTACTATCGACGCTTCATTCCGCGCTGCGCTCAGCTTATGCAGCCGCTGACTGACCTACTCAGAGGAAATGAACGTAAGTTCGCTTTCCCTGACACAGCACAGGCAGCCTTCGCCGAGCTCAAGGACGCTATCTCCAACATAGCCCTCCTCGCTCATTCCGAATCGACTGCACCTCTTTCTATTACGACTGATGCCTCAGACGTCGCGGTAGGAGCCGTCCTCCAACAACACGTTGGTGGGCAATGGCAACCCCTTGGGTTCTTCTCCAAGCGCCTGCAGCCAGCGGAATCCCGCTACAGCACGTTTGGCAGAGAACTGCTAGCCATTTACCTAGCAATACGTCACTTCCGGCACACACTTGAAGGCCGCGCTTTCACGGTCTACACTGACCACAAGCCCCTTATATTTGCCTTCAACTCTGCTACCGACAAATACTCACCACGGGAAACAAGACACCTAGACTTTGTCACGCAGTTCACTGCTGACATACGTCATGTCTCAGGTGTCGACAATCCCGTCGCCGACGCTCTCTCACGCGTCAACCTCACTCTGCAGTCTTTGCCTACCGTCGACCTTGCCGCCATGGCATCGGCTCAGGCGCAAGACGAAGATATACAGCGCACTCTGCAGTCCACTTCGCTGCATGTGCAACCTGTTCCTCTCCAAACCACGGAAGGAAGCATTCTCTGTGACACGTCCACAGGTTGTCCTAGACCTCTCGTGCCCGTCTCCTTCAGACGCACAGTCTTCGACGCACTGCACTCACTGTCACATCCCGGTATCCGTGCATCTTTGAAACTGGTCACCGAACGTTTCGTTTGGCCACGCGTAAACAAAGATGTTCGTACCTGGGCTCGCGCCTGCCTTCAATGCCAGCGCATGCGTTCACTACGCCCGACCCCGCCCCGTGAGCAGACTAGAGATGTACAAATGCACAGCGGACTCTCTACCTGCACCCACGTCTTCCTCCGCACCGACGCAGTGCGGCGCCCTCTCCAGCCTCCCTACACTGGCCCTTTCAGAGTTCTGCAACGGACTCCGAAACATTTTACTATAGACCAGAATGGTCACCGAACAACGGTGTCCATCGACCGCCTCAAAGTGGCTTTCTTTGACGAGCCACTTGCAGCTCATCCTGATGCTCTCCCACAAGCACCCGCATCTGCGGTGACTTCGCGAGCACTGGATAACCCGGAACCCTCCGTACCCCTTGACCCGCAACCTATCCCGCCGCAACCCCAGGCAACCGACCGACGCGCTAGACAGGTCAAACGTCCGGTCCGTTTTTCCGATTTTGTAAGCGTTTGCTATTTCCATTAACACGCCTTTTTCGTCTTAAATGGTTATCCTGCGTCTCACCCACAAACGTTTTGCAAAATCGACAAAAAAGCCCAAAACATTTTGAAAACCCAAAAAGCGTATTTGCTTTTATCATACATGCCATGTTCCCTCTCCGGCGCCAAGCCACTTCCCCTACCCTTGCCAACCCCCTCTGAGTTCTACCTTCCAGAAACTCAACCGCCGGAACTGCCCAGGCAACCCTCGAGGGATTCGCCAACCGGTTCAACACAACCCTGGAGTGACTCGCCAGCCGTCCTCATCCAAGGAACAGACAGTCGCCCTCGATCGCAGACACCCACGAACGAATTGGTCCCCAAACGCCGCTTAGGCATTGCCGACGAGGACGCCGGATTTCTTCGTGGGACGACGACGCCCGCATTCCTTCGTGGGACGAGCACGCCTGGATTTCTTCGTGGGACGAGGACCGTGGACTAAAGTGCGGTGGGGGGAGTGACACCTCGCAAGCGCACCGTCGGGTCTGCAGCAATGGGAAGGTCCTGTCGGCCTTTTTCTGGACTAGCCAGTTTTTTTGCAGTCCGACCAGCCGCCCCGACGGCCCACCGATGATGCACTCTGGTCCACACGATCGGCATAAATAAAACTAACAAAAGCCTGGACCCAGCGAAATCTGCTACACACCCCACTTTGGAAGCCATTCTCCAGCCCCTGCAAACATTCGCATCCACTCTCACCTTCCGTTCCCCCCACTAACAGCTCCATCGAAGGCTTCCATCCTTCAGCCTTCTAGGGGGAGGCCCTTGTAGTGCACCGGAAAACATGCTCTTTCAGTATTTGTAACATTGGATTTTATGGTTGTTTTAACCTTCGAAACGTCCACTTGTTTTACTGACTGCACGTCCGTTGTCACAAACCGTTTTGGTGAGTTCCTCGCTGCACGTTTCTCGCTCTGTCTGATTCGCTTTCCATTCTTGTAGCCTGCACAATACACGTTGGGTTCAGTTGCCTCCGACTTCTATACTGTCGTATTTGACACCCCTTACGTGTCATTGCTTACCGACTAGTATCCCAGGTTCCGCCCAACAAGTGCTCAGCTGAGTAAGCAAGCTTACAAAATGCAACTTGTTTTTATGGATCTTGCGTTAATTAGTATAAGTGAAAATGTAGTGTGCACAAAAACGTTTTCTGTAAGTACTTCAAATGACTGGGAATCAGAAATGACAGGCAAAGAAGTTAAATAAGGGTGTGGTGAAAACAAACCCATCGGTGGAATACTCAGGTGTAAGGGCATTGTTCGCGCTAGTAAGACCGGGTGGGCGGAAAAGATTGATGTCCCGAGGCAAGGTTGGGGTTTATCTGATTTCGAGCTAACCGTGACATGTGGATGAACTGCCAGAAAAGTGGAACAACATAGGCTGTTTCTGCTGGGTGTGTCAGTGGTGGGAATGGGTGTGGAGCCATTCCCGCTTCCGCTAAAAAAGGGTTAAGGTAAATTGATGGATTCCGACGTGCTGCATGGGTATGTTACATGACAGGTAATATTGTCAGGTTTTTAACGTCGTTTTGATTTTCATTTCTCTGTCTAGAGTTGTTGTAGACGTGAAGCTGATAAGTATGCTGGCCTGTTGGAGGTTGGTAGGTAGGTGTAACTAGAAAATAATTGTTGTGAGTTCTAACAGGCTCGAAGTGACGCGTAGCGCAGCGATGACAAGGCAGTTGTGGACATGCATATTTGAGCCTTACTGCGTTCCTCATAGCTGCGTATCTTGTGTAAATACCAGTCGATGATATATTTGTGTTTGCAACATCAGCACGCAAATCTGGGGGCGCATCTTGACCCATGTATCTGTTTCCCGGTGTTTTTATTTGGTTCACAACAGCCACTTGTTCGTCACATCTAACACGACTAAACCGTTTGAGGTCGGAGCAATGAGGCCGCGGTCACGAGTACTGGCGTACGTTAAGTTCGGTTGTCGTATAGTAGGCGTTGAGATAGAAGATAGGGCAGAGTTATTTGATATTACCGCCACTAAGTACGAATTGCCGAGATCCACGTTGTTAAGTGCGGTTGACACACTTGGTGTGCCATTTTCATGTGGATTTGTGTGCAGATTATCAGCGTAGCTGTTACGGTTTTCCGGCGGTTTCGGGATAATTCTCAGGAGGGATCGTTGCAGAGGTGTACGATGCGGCTTAATCAAAATATCTTGGTTCTTGGTACATGCAGTAATGATACGTTGGCTGTGCAATAAACAATCTGCCGATCCTTCGCTTGAAAATTTAAATATGACTGGACAGAAATGCCTCGGTGTTTTCTTTTTCAGTCGCAGACATATACAGACGACATCGGACATGTTACAAGCGCTAAGTACATTCGCCTTTACTTTGTTCAGACTGAATCTGTCTGGTATGTTAAAAGCGATCACATTTTTTACTCTACGTTTTCTTCCATGTACCTCTGAGGCGATGGAGTCGATTAGTTGACCTGCCTTTTGGAGGTGAACATGATCAAACTTATCAAATCGGTTGCCAATGTAATCTAGTGATACTAAGCGACCTTT